GAAGCCAAAGAAGAAGAGGTAATGCTTGCTGGGTGCTCGGGGCTGGACATCTCCCTGGGGCTGTGAGATTGCCTGTTTCTTTCACCACTTGCCTTGAAATGTTGGGGGAAGATCTTTACTCAATAGAAATGGATCCTAATAGCCTGCATCTCACATTGCAACCTTTTTTTTCCCTAAATTAGGAGTGAGATTAACACTTAAATATAGAGGTATAATCTTTCAAATGATTCATTTATAACTATGATGATGATGATTTTGAAAATCTTAGCTCATATTGTTGTTTTTAACCCACCCTCCTCCCCCCAATGTTTGGAGTAAAAGTCATAAGGAGAGGGCAGCACGCAACGTTTCTGCTGGGTGTTTAACTTACCTCCACTTTGATCAGAGAACTTGATTTGTCCCTCTTACATCAGGAGTCCCAGAAGATGATGGAAGCTGCTGCTGCAAATTCAGTTCAGCTGAAGCTGGGGAAGACCAGTGACTCGGAGAGCCGAAAGCAAAGCAGTGACAGGTAAAGCCCCACCAGGCACCAGGACCTCCAGCAAGATGAGTTTGAAGGCTTTTGGCATGGTTTCCTCCCCTTGCATCTTTCTTGAGCATCCCACAGAAGTCAGCAGTCAGCTTGGTGGGAATAGCAAATGTACGGGCTGGGCCGCGGGAGGTGATCGCAGGGCTCTGCCCCCAAGCAGAGGGGCTGTCCAGCTCACGTTTGACCCCAGAAAGTTGCCTCATCAGGGACTTGATGGCAGCTGGAGGTGCTCATGCCTAACAGTGAGGAGTTGCAGGCGTGATGCGTGCCAGCAGTGGCTCGGGAGCCCACTCCAGGGCTAAGCAGCAGCAAGAGCCTTGGCTTGGAGCTGCTGCTCTGCAGCTCTCGGGCTTGCCTCCCCAGCCCCCCTGGCCAGCAAAACCTCCTGTGCTTATGCTGAGCTTTGGTTGTCCGGGCCCCCCTGCTCCTCTGGCTGGTGCAAATGCACTTGGTGGCACCAGTGCCCATAATCACGGGTTGCTCTGTAAAATATCGGTTGCAGGATGGATCCTTCTGAAATTAATATCTCGGATGAAATGTCGAAAACAGCCGTATGGAGGGCTCTCCCCATGAACACAGAAACGCTCTGACTGCGGGGAGGAAAGAGGTGAAGGACTGATTGCCCATCAACGTGACCGTGCTGCTCTGCAAGCGACGGCGCGTGCCTGCGGCTCGCCCGTGCTTTGGGTGGCGATGCCGAGCAAAGGGCCCGGCCCCGGGAGCAGGCGGCCAGGACCGTGGCACGCAAACCAGCTCCTCTCTGCCGGGGTGGTCCCACGGACAGGGCTGAGCCGGCAGCGGCCGGCAGGTCTGCCACTGATGGTGCTCTCCCTCTGTTTCTCTTTCTGCCCCCAGTTTTCCTGTTTAGGCATATGGACTTCGAAGGAGAGGAGTGAGAACGTGACTCAGGGATGTGCCAACGCAGACATGGGGAGAAACGGCCTTTTTTCAGTTGGAGGATTCCCATTAAAGCCATGCAGCTGTTTTCAGTTGTCCTTGGTGTGCTGCAGGCGTCTGGTGTCTCTAGCCCAGCAAACGGAGGTGCACGGCCCAGTCACTGGGAGTTCAGCGGTGTTGACCCTCCGTGTGTATGTGTGTGTGTTGTTGCATTTTGTAGTGGTAGAGGGACTGCTACCGCTTTATTGTTCAGTGCTATTTTTTTAATATCTAATTTCTCCTCTCCATTCTCATTTTTTTTTTTTTTTTCAAATACAAAATCTGAATGTACAAAGTCATTTGCTGTTATATTGAACGCATTCTCCAATTTCTTCTTCATCACGACCAGGTTCTTGGTCTGGTTTGGGGTGCTGACCTTTAATTTACTCTTCTGTCTCTTTCCTGTATGAGAGGGATGCCCTCCGCTGCCTGGCAAGGTAGAGATGGTCTCAGCTGTTAGGCGAAGGTGAAGGAAAGGCACTTGTTCCCTGAGCTCCAATTTTACATTTTTTTTTTTTTTTTTTAATGTCTTTGGCTCTGCCGTCGGCCTAGGCAGCTGCAAAATGAACAAATGCCACCTTTTTGTCCCCTGGATGTAAACTGAATGCAAGGAGCAATCAAAATCGAATACTTAGAAATCACTGCACGCTCCTGGGAGTGGCCAGGTGAGGCTGGGGGCTCCTGTGCCCCTGGGCTGCCCTCTCCGTTGTTCCTCCACTCTCCTTTTACCTCCCCTGGACTCCGTGGAGTTTTTCCTTCACCCCTGTCCTTGCAAAGTCTCTTCTCTCGCAGGGCGGGATGAGCCGGGAGGAAGTGGGAAGATGCCTTTTCCTTCTCCGGCCTCTTTGCAGGACCAAGCTCTTAAGCAGAGATGGTTCTTTCCCTCTCTTCCTGAATCTGGGGGGTCGCTGGGCTGCGGTGTCACCCCAGGCAGCCCGGAGCTGGAGGAGGACAGCCCAGCAGAAACGGGCCCCTTGCTGGGGGCTCAGCACCCGCTGCTGGCGCCCAGCGCCCGGCTGGGACGGGCGCACGAGCCCCCCTGCCCTCGGCTCGCCCCAGCGCGGCGGGAGCCTTTTCGGGCATCAGCCCAGCCCCGGGTGCCAACAGCAAGCTGTTTCCCTTGCACGGGGTGGGGGGCAAGAGAAGAGAAACTTGCTCTGTACGCAGGAGAGCAGCTCGGCGCCCAGCAGGGCCCCCCGTCAGGCGGTTTTGACGGGATGGGGTTTGCACAGTGTGGCTGGGCCGCGGCCAGCGCTGCTCGGGGGCAGGAGGCAGCTGGTTTAGCTCTTCAGAAAGGGCGGGGGGCAAACCCAACAGGCTTGCAGGCAGGGAAAGGGGCCGAGCCCGCGTTTTCTTGCCGCTGCTCCTGCGCGCCCGGTCCCCGCTGCCTTCCTGGGCCTGGCTCCCGGCATGGCGCTGCGCTTGCTGCCGCGACCGGCCCTCTCCCCCTGCCCGGAGAGAAGAGGTCGGGGTGGAGGAGAGCCCCGATCTCTCCACCGTTTGGAAAATAAACGTGATTTCCCGTGGGGGTGGGAGCATCGAGCCAGTGAAGCGCACCGGCTGTGGTACCGGTCCCAGTGCTGCCCTGCCCCGAAAATGGAATCACTGGGCTTCTACTGGGGGGCAATTCTGGTTTTTCCCTTTTTATTTTCCTCTGCGCGAGAGGAGCGAGCCGGGCTGAACTCCGCTCCCTCCTGGCAGGGGCCAGGGCCCGGGGCTGGGGTTGTTTTCAGCTCGTGCCTGGCACCTCTCCAGCTCAGAAAGAAAGAACAAAACCCACCCGGGAGGGCAACGGAGCCGGTGTGAATGTTTGAATGAAGAGCGGGCTGGGCTCTGCCTCGGCCCTGGGGAGCTGCGAAATGGCGGCAGCTGCCCTGGCTGTTCCTCCTTTAAAAAGCAAACCAGATGCGGCCGTCTTCTCCAGTTAAAGTTTTGTCCCTGCTGTCTGCAGGGCTAGCAGGTTTTCCGTATTTTATTATTTTTTGTTTTTTTTTTTTTTTTTTTAATTCAACGATAGCTGCGGTCTTGCTTAGCACCGTGACTTGGGGCGAGCTAAAAGGTGGCTGGAAGGCCCCTGGCCGGCTGCGAGACCCGGCGCGACGGCTGCCCCCTTTATACCCCATCAGCCCATGGCCGGCTCCTGATTCGGGGAGGATTTATCGTTTCTCTGTGCGGAGAAAAATTATGTTGTAGGGAAAAACCCTCTCAAAGTGGTTCCTGGTGTTCCTCGGGGACTCAAGAAAAAAAAATGCTTGAGGTGACCCACGATGCTTCAGTTGGCAGCAACCCCCTTCCCTTCCCGGCCACGCGGGATGGGCGCTGGGTGTTCTCCTCTTTGGTGCCTTAAACCAGCTCCCCCGGTCTCCCTGGGGGCCCCTTCAAAATGCTTCCTAAAATGAAGTGTACTGGAATCCCAAAGGGGTGTAAAAAGGTAAGAAATAAGGTGCTGGCCCACTTTTTTTTTTAGTTTTATTTTTCTCCCAGTGCTCTACATTTAGAAATACAGGAATTATTTTTGTTTTGGAGATGCTGAAATAAATATATTTTATTGTAAGAGAAGATCTAGTTTGGAAATGCTCTGTGTTGTCAATAAAACTAAGGGGGAAAAAAAATCCATTAAGCAAACCTGTGTTACTTATCACTTTGAATCTTCGTGTGTGTTTGCTTTTGTTGTTAGGGCTTTCTTGTGGTTGTTTGTTTGGTTTTTTTTTTTTTTTGTTTTTTTTTTTTTTTCTTTCCCTTTTTAAATTTGATTTATTTTGGGTTCATGCTGTGGCACTCAATTAACATAAATCCATGTCGTTGTCTCGTGGGCCCCGTCCGTGACGTGTTGCTGCTGACTGACAGGTTCCACCCCCAGAGCCATGGCTGGCTTGTTTTTCTCTCATTGCCCATTGACCATAATGGGAAAATTTAAACAGTAAATTGGCCATAACGGGAAAATGAAACAATCTCATTTGTCTCGCTGTGCTGCTCTGGTGTCATTTCAAGGGGGGAGAGGAGTCGGAGACATCTTTGAAGCTTCTTAAGGGGGTTTTTCAAGGTGATGGGGGAGTGGGCAGTGGTGCTTTGGGGGAAATTCATCTCCGAGGGGCTTGGGGCAGGAACCAGCTGGCTGGAGAAAGATTTTAAATTATCGGCTTTGGGTTTTATTAGTTTTAGCTTATTTATTTATTTTAATTTTAGGTATTTCTCATTGTAATTACTTGCAATAAGCCCTGTGTTGTGGGCAGGAGGTGACAGCGGTGTCACACATCACCTCTGCCAGACTGCGGGTGTGCAGGGAGTTCAGAAATGGGTCTGGGGGGGATGAAAGTGATGGTGAAAGATAGAAATTGCCCCATCCAGAGTGAGCAGTTCCTCCTCCCAGCATTTTTTGAGTTACTTGGACCATTTGTAATACAATTAAATAGCATGAAATGAAATCCAAAGAGGTTCTAGTTATCTTTATATAGTATTTTTTTTAAATTTATTTCTAAATCCCCTCTGGCACAGGTCTGTGGGGTCAGGCAGGTGCATCCTGATTGCCCTTTCACCTAAAACTGATGGAATTGAGAGAAAAATGGGCACCTGAGCCATGCCGGGGGGTCAGAGGCTGGTGTCTCGCAATCCCTCGGCACCAGCGGTGCATGGAATGGAATCCCGATGGGATGCTCGGAAGGGCTGGAGATGTCAAGATCCAGCTGCTGGATTTAGTGAGGGTTTTATTAAGCTTTAAGGAAAGCTGCACGATCTGCAGCACTGTGGGAGCAGTTACAGAGAAAATGAAGCTGGAGAAATCCATGTTTGAAAGGAAGGCTGATCCGTGGGTGCAGATTTTAGGAGGAGGGGACTGGCAAACAGCGCAGCTGCGTGGGATGGATAAATCCTTCCTGTGGGCCATCCGCTGGTGGCGACCGTGAAGGGGTCCAACATCCCCAGGCTGATGCTACTGGAAAGCTGATCCCTTGATTTGCCATTTAATTGTACCTTAATATTAAAAAACAAGCAAAAAACCACAGAAGAGAAACTCCCCCTGAAATCACTTTAGGAGCTTTGAAACAGCAGCAGTGATTTTCTCGTTTGCAAAGGAGCAACAGCTTTGCTTCAATGAGACCGAAATGTGATATTATTCCCTGTAAATGCAGATGATCCCACCACATTAAGACTGAAATGAAGTGCAAAAGGTCAGAAGAAAGCATGGTGGGAACAAAACAGCCTCATCCCATCATAAACTATTAAATCCCCCCCAAAAGAGCTAAATTTGCCTTGTCTTATTTTATTGCAAATAGCCACGAGAGAACCCATGTGAGCCAGCGAAAATGAGAAGCAGCATCAGGTGTAGGGAGCCACACTACCTTTGCACCTAAACCCACAGATTTATGTCTCCATTTCAAAATTACTTGTTTATTTGTTTTTAATTCACTGTGTTTGCCATTTGGAATGACTTACATGAGTGGTGGGAAAGCTGCTGGGAAGGGGATACTGTGGGGCTCCTCCTTCAGGTACCTCTTCGTGGAGCTGCCAAAAATGGGAAAACACCCACAAGAAAACTAAAACTGCAGTAACGATTGGGATCGGGGGCTTGTGGCATGGCGGGGGGTTATTTCCCAGCATGGCCCTGTTCCCCTCTCCCCTTTTTACCTGTACCGTTTGGTGTTGATGAGCCAGTGCACAAAGTCCTTGGCCTTCATCTTGTCCAGGTAGCGGGTGAAGTCACTGCTGAAGGTGCCTTCCGAGTGCCGCTTGATGTCGGACGCGAAGCTTTGGGTACTTTGGGATTCGTATGACTGCCATCTGCTCGGGAGAGAAGGATGGGGGAAGAAGAGGTGGTTTTGTGCACAGTGTGGCATCCTGCATCCTCCCTGCACAATTCTCCCAGGGCAGGGTCTGTGTCCTCTAAACCACTTTACTGCGTGGCACAACCTCCAGAAAAGCTGCAATAACCCATAAAAATACTTTCAGGGGAGTTCCAGAGGGGTCTGCCGAGCCCGGCCAGGGTTATTCCTGACATCAAATATAGGCAGTGTCCTATCCCATATTATCTGCCCTACGTCTTGCTCAGCTGTGGTGGGTTTGTTCCTCCACCCTGGTCCCTGCTTGCCGCCCTTGGGAGGGAGCGTGGTGCTGTCCCAAGGTTTAGATTAACCTCCTCCAGCTCCAGGATGGAGAGCTGATGTTGAGGTCCCCAGAGGGTTTTCCTCCCACACAGCTGCTGGCACAGAGTGGGGCTCAGCCCCATGTCCAGAGCATTGTCCCATCCTGTCTCCGTCCCACTGCATCCCCGTGCAGCCTGTCTCTGGTCTGTCACAGCCCAGAAATCCTGGGGGGGACATGGCAATGTCCCTGCATGGGCTGGTAGAAAGCCAAGAGGGAGCTTGTCTGCATAAATACAAAAGAAACAGGCACATTGTCACAGTGAGCCTGCCCCGGAGCTGGCACAGCCGGCAGCACCAGTAACGGAGAGGGCTGAGCCGCTCCGACAGCCCCTGCCCGCACCGGCCACCTCCCCAGGCCAGCTCCAGCAGCACCCCGTACCTGGACGTGTCATCCAAGTCCTTGGGGCCCATCTGCCACCCTGCTGGGATCAGCACGGCAAACCCCAGCCCGGAGAGGTACAGCCACCGCACGATCTGCATTTGTCCTTCTGGGGAAGGCAGAAGTCAAGAGAGAAACGTCCAGGGCTGCAGTCGCCATCGACCCCCCAGCCCCTGCGGGAGCCCTTGGCAGCGCGGCACGGGACACGGCCAGCACGAGACAACCTCCTTCCCTGGAGTCCTGGCAGCATTTTGATGGGTGCATGGAAAAATAGCATCCTCACAATTACCTATCAGCTCGTCTACTGTTGCTTGGGCGCAAGCACACAGCCACAAGAACGGCTTTGTATAATCTAAAGATATAATTCATTGCAATAAACTTTATCACGACCCTTCCCTTTTCTATCCAGGAGCAAGATTTCTATCTTGAGCTTATCACCAGAGTGCTGGAGAACTTTCCCGACCATTAGCTGCTCAGAAAAGCAGCTTTCAGAAGAGTTGATTAATTAGAGTTTTAAATTTCTTCTCTTTGCTGGATGCCTTAGCAGTTCAGGGGGGATAAAATGCCAACCCCCACCCTTTATTTGCTGAAAATCAGACTTTTTGTTGCCCATCACTGAGCACTTTCATTACTCTGGTTTAATTTCTTCAGAGATTGGTAGTAAAGAAGGAAGGAAAAGGCACTTACCTTCTGTAAAGACGACCGTTCCCCTAAAAGCAAGATCCTATTTTCCTCCGTCAAGCTGGTTGTGGCTAAACTCTTCTCCTTACCAGTGCTTTTAAGCTTGTTAGCAGGATGCTAAAAGCTGACAGGTAGGTCATCGGTACTCCTGTTTTTTTTTTGGATGGGTCATTATGAATCATTACAGGATTTTTTAAGTGGGGCTGTTGCAAAAAATCTAGTTGTTGCCATATTTTTCAGCTTATGCCTGCAGCAAGGTTTTTTTTTTTGTTGTTTGTTTTTGTTGTTGCTGCTTCTCTTCTCTTTCCCGTTTTTTTCCACTTCTTGGACCAAAGGAGTGATCTATTGGTTTCCTCCTTTCAGGTGAGATGGCCCTTTATTGCCACAGTGCATCTTGCATAGAGAAATTATTTCTCTACCCACAGGGTGCCCTTTCAAATACCTTTGTTTTGAGTTAAAAAGCATTAAGAAACAAAGCAAGAGCAAAAACGTAAAAGAAGCATTCGCGTACCCAAGCACTTGCTGCTGCTTTCTGCAGTGTAAAATTCGGGTGACAGCTCATCAGCTCGACAGACATCACTTTTGATCCAAGGCTGGTTTTGTCCCCCAAGACCAGATCTGAAATTGGGACTGTTCACCACCATTTCTTTGATCTGGGGATGACAGCAGGCACATGGGCGGCTGCCGATCTAGGTCAACGTTTCTCCCCATGGGACATCCAGGCTCAGCCCAGGAGCTAGGGAAACAGCTGGCTAAGGACAATAGTTTTGCAGGGGCATCTCCTGGGAACTGGGTTCATTTTTATAAATCCTCGAGTCCAGTGAAGGAAGAAAGGCTTGAGAAGAGCAAAACTGAGGGTAGCCCTAAAAAACTGGATCTGGCCCTGGAGGAGAGGATGCTGACAGCTCCGGGTGGACATGGAGCAAAGCCCTCAGCTCCCTGAGGATGCTGGGGGGTCAGATGAGCTTTTGAGGGCTGTTCGTTTGGAGGGTTGATGGCAGGCTGCATTTCTGGGGCAGATTTGAGATATTTGGGGAGCTCTTGGCTAAGGAATGTCTATAGTTCAGTGCTTGGGAGACTGAATGTGCCCTTTTCACAGAGGCATGGTCAATGGGCAGAGAAAATCAAGTCTTAGTAAGCTGGGTCGTATTTCTCCCTTGCCCAACACCAGCCACCAGAAGAGCAAGGGCTCCGAGTCCTGATTTCTCCGCCACTTCCTGTCATCTCCTCCTGAAACCATTCTCCTCATGGTTGGGTAATTATTATTATTCTACCAAAGACATTTCTGTAATTATTGTCACTGTCAAAATATTGCTGGTGTTCAGGGGACACTCATCTTGAAAAGCCTTTTAATTAGGGCCAACAATGGCCTTGCGAGAAAGCCTGACATCAGAGGAGGAAGGTAGGAGATTAATTAGCTCAACCTTCAGAGGAGAGGTCCAGATCTTGAATCCATCACTTGGATGGGATATTTATTAATGATATTAAATTAGCTCATGAAGACACTGTTTGTGATGTCCCCCTGGCCCAGGAAGACACACAAGCTTTCTGCAGCAGTGACCAGCCCAGGAGAAGGGAAATTCAGCTCAGCCACTGCAGTGCTTGTCATGTTGCTTCTTGGTTTTCTTAACTGTGGCTCCCAGCGACAGAGTGGGTTGGAGAAATGTCCTACAGGACACTTTCTCCACTGTCCACAGGTGATTTTCACCAGTCCGTTGGGGCATGGTGCTCTCCCCTTTCCAAGTGGCCTCTGTGGTCTTCCCCTTGCCACCCGGGTTGAGTTCCTGGTGGCTCTCCCCCCCTGGCAGACTGTGCTATGGGGGCATGATTTTAAGATGCACATACAGATCTGGATTTTGTCCCATTTTATGACTTGGCGAGGTGTTCACGGACAGCAGGTGGCAGACTTCCTATTTCTGCCCGGCCTTCCTCTGCCTGGCCTTCCTCTGCCTGCCCTTCAGCTGCCTCTCAGCCTCCTCCTCCTTGCTCAGCCACTCCCCAAACACCTGGCCTGTCCCTGCAAGGACCAAAGTGATGTGATGTCCCTCTCTTTGGGGATGGAAGACCACAGGTCGGGGGATGTTGTTGGTGGCAACACGGTCATGCCACAGCCCAGTTGGGTTGGTTTAGGTTCAAATCCTTGCTCTGTGTGCATCTTTGGAGAGGCATCTTTGAGAACACCTGAATATCCTGTGCTGATGAAGCACGGACCTAAGAAGTTGATAAAGGAAAACTCCTGGACTGTTCTCCCTGTCCACAAACCCTGAGCTAAACTCATCCATAACGCATCCAACCTTTGCTGCGTTTTCCCATTAGGTTTCACCAGGACCAGCTGTGTGGCTGAACTGCCTGCCTCTGCCAGTTTTGGTCTCTGCAAGCATGGAGAGAGGCCGGAGGAGCTCTGATGGGAATGATGGCACATGGCCTTGCTGGGCTGTCCAAAATCAGGCTGGAAAGAAGATGAGTTTATGCTTAAGACTGCTCTTAAATTATAACGCAGACCTGATGAGCCTCATTCTGACCAGCTACCTCCTGCTTTGGGGCTCGATTTCCCCGCCTGGCATGATAGACTCAGGTTGACATGACTTGGTGCCTTGATCAACAGGCACTACCACAAAGTCACCATAGATACATCAAAGTGCTCCAATACTACTGTCCTGTAGCTGCAGATGCAGTCAAACCAAGTGATGGTTAATTTTGGAGGGATTTACTGCAAGCAAAGAGGAATAAAGGCTTTGACCTCACCTTCTTGGATCCTCTGCAAAGAGATCTTCATTTCCCACAGGGGTGCATTTCAGGTCCAACCCAGCTCAAGAGAGTAGAGGATGGAAAAACCTTCTTCTTTTGTGTCCCCCCAACTGCAGTTCAGAGCCTGGTGCCCCATGAATAAGCGCTCTCCACTCTCATTTTCCCTGTGGCTGAAGCCGTTTGTGGTATCCTCCATCCCTACAACATTTGGAGGCAATTTTATACCCGTGCGTCAGAGCACGCTGCCTCTTGCTGGCAGTGGCTACTGCCAAGGCATAACTGGGCAAAGAAAGACCTTCTCAGGTCAGTGGTTAACCTGAAACACCTCCTTCAGGGTGATGCTGAGTGCATGGTTTTGGTTTCAGCATCTTTTGGGCTTTTTTCCTGTGTTTTGCTTTACAGGTGTTTGAGAGCAAAGGCACAGCCATTAAAGAAAGATATTCTGTGTTCCCAGCAAGGTATTTTGGCAGCTCTGAAGGGACGTGGATTATTTTCCTGCCTCTTTTCCCCTTTGTGCATGTTTTTTTAGGCACGAAACAGTATCTGCCTTTGATGATGCAGAGTCAAGGGCTCATGGCCTCCTGGCTTGTTGTCGTGGTTGACTCTTGATATCAGGGAGGAAGAGTGTGGTGGGATGCAGAGATGGTTCCGAGCTATGCGGCAGGCTGTGACGAGCTCATTTGGAGTCATGAGCTCTTAAGAATAGGGGTCAATGCCATGTAGCCCTTCCTGAAATCAAGTTCAGGATGTATCTACCCCATGGTGGATCTCAATTTTTGACGAATCTATTACTTTTCTCCCTTTGCTGTTAACATAGCAGAAGGAAATTGGGTAAGACTCCTCTTGCCCCCGGCTCCCATTGCTCTCCTGTCCCCAAGCACCTTTCAGGAGTGCTAAATGTGCATGATACATGCATGGCAAGGCAAGTCATTGGGTGCCAAAGGCATGCTTCCCTCATGGAACATGAACCTGGAGAAGTAGTAGTGGTTTCATTAGTGGAGGTCGGTTGGATGAGAATCCAGCTTGCACCCATGCTGGGCTGGGAGAGGTGTGAACTCGCGGGGAATTGCAGGCAAAAGGCATTGGGGTCAAGCACGGGGATCTCACATTTGGCATCGGGGCACCTGGTGGATATCCAGCTGTGGTGACACTGCTGCAAGAGTGTCCCTGCTCCTCCTCATCAGTGGGAGCTGCTGGATCACCTGAAGGTCAGATTAGAGGCTCTGTCCTTTCACCTGGGTTAGCTAGTGCATTTTACCTCCTTTGGCTAAAGCCCCAGCAATCAGCCTCAGCAGGTGGAGCAGGATGCAGGGCACCTGGCTGAGCCCTTGCTGCCTACAAAATCGGGTGCTCATGGTCCTCCCTCGTCTTTAGTCTTGCAAGCTTTACCACCCCCTCTGCTCCCTGGTCCTCCTTGGCCGTCCCTTGCTCCCTGGGTGCTTTCAGCGTGACGCTCTGTGGTGAAAGGTGGGTGCTTTCCTCTTGCTTTTGGAGGAAAGCAGTTGCTGTGAGCTGTGCCAGGTGCTATTAGGTGGTTTTGAGCAAGCTGTGGGGGCGCTGAGCAGGCTGTCTCCCTCAGGGCGCCCTGGACCCGCACCAAGCGATTGCTGGTTTGTGCTGGGGCCCTGCAGGATCTGAACTGGGGCAGCTCTGGGCAAGTAAACCTGTGAGTGTGTGGGGTGCTCCTGGGGTGCTGCCCATGGGGTTAGGTGGTTGTGAGAATGTTTGGCTCAACGCCTCAGTGGTTATGTGCCTATAGCCTGCCAAAATCCTGACTTAGGTTTAGGGTGTTTTTTTTAATTACCCTTCTTTATTTGAGACAAAGGGAGATGGTGGTTAATGGTTTATTGCTGTTAAATGTCCCCTTGGCTTTGGAATGTGGAAAACTTTGTCAGGTTTCTTTTTTTACCTGCCTCTTCTTCCTACCCATAGTGCTATAAAAATCTTATAGACCCTGATGAGACCAGTTACCACCCTACATGGGCTAAAAAGCCCTCAGCAGTTTGGAGCAAATGTAGCAGAGGTTTTAATTTCAGCCTCTTGATTTCTGTGGGCCCTTAGCAGGCTTGTGTGTAATTAAATAACCCTTGACTCTTTAGCTTTGCAAAAATCCCCCTACTAGAGACCTTTTTCTGGATGTTTGCAATGGCTTTTATTTCAGCAGCAATCGTTGGTAACCGGCTGATGAAAGCTGATTGTGCCATAAATCAAAACTTCTTCACATTCAAATGCAGCAATTAATCCTGGGTGTGTTGGTGCAATTAGATGACAAATTATGCCTCAAGATTCACTCTCTTGTTTGTGTAGAGAAGCTGTGTTTGCTCTGCCGGGGATGTTTGGCTATGGCTTCAATCTACCCTGGGGGATGTCAAATGATAAACTTGGGGAGCTGCACCCTGCAGCAGCTGCAGAATTCAGACTCTTTGGCCTCAGTGTCTCCATCTGGAGACTAAAGGTTTGTCTGCCCACTTGCAGTAAATCTGAGTTGTCTGAGCCTTCCTCCAAGACACTTTTGCAGAATTTATTCTTACAGTGTTCCAGCCTTGCACAGGACTTCAGTCCCCCAGATTGGGGCAGGGGTTGCCTTGAGACCTGCAGCTCCCGTGCCCCGGTGGAAAAACTCTTTGCAGTCATGAGTACCTGTTTTGACCATTCTGGCCTAGTTTTGAGACTGTAGGGCTGGTGCTAAATAACAGTGGCACAAACTGAAAATCCAGCAGCTAATCTGTTGCTGGATGTTCGCTCCTGATAACCCTGGTGCAGTGGGATGTCTCATTCACAAACAGTCTTGGAGTGTGCCTTGATGTGGGTGGATGCGCTCTGCGGTGGGGAAGAGTCTTATTAATGCAACAAGGCATGGTTTTGCTTGAACTGCTGAAAAGTTGGGGTGGCTGCTGAAGCAAAGTTGTGTTCTTCAGATGTGTTGCTGTTTCTATGAAAAAAATGAGCGTGTGGGGATTGGATGATACAGAAGGGACGAGTAAACTCAAGCACAGGGTCTCATTTTTGCAGGGATGCCGCCTGCAGAGAGGGGGAGCTGAGCTCTGCTGGTTAATGACATTCAGCTGGTTTTTAGCTCAAAACCCAAAGTAAAATCCTAACACAGACAATGTGGTGAAAATCCAGGACAAAGACATATAGACAAAAACCTGCTGATGTTGCTAGTGCCAGTAGGTGCATATTTACACACTGGACTTAAATGAAGGCTTTATCCACTGATTAACTGTTCTTATGGGATCTCTTTGTGAAACACCTATAGATATTTTCTTATCTACTTGGAACAAAATAAGCTGATAGTATTTTATGTCCCTTTCCTTTATGATGGTGATTGGTGCTGATAACAGCTGTTATAATGCCTATGGACTCTGATCTTTAAGTGGGGGGCAATGGCTCTTGGAGAGAAAGCAGTTGGCTGTTTTGATAAGTAGCTTAAAAAAAATCCTTTAAGAGTGGAGAAGGGGCTCATTTTCTCTAGCTGATGCTGCTTTGGCAGGAAAACAGCTGCTCTGTCACCAAATAAATGCAGCTCCTGGGAATGAGGGGAAAATCCCAGCTGTTAGAATTTGAAACAATTGTTGAGGAAAGGGAATTGATTTTTCTTTTTTGTGGCTTTTTTAAAAAGGCAAATTGTATAGGACATTTTAAGTTTCTTTCCATCCATTTTTTTTTTCCAGGCTGCACAAGAGGGCATTATATCAACCTGCAGCTGCACCTTGCTTGTGGGCAAAAGAGCTCTTGCTGTCTTGCCAAACAGGATTAATGTCAAGACAGCAAAGAAGGGCCTGTATCCTGGAGAACACATGCCAGAGAATGTTTTATTTTGCTGATTAGTGGTTATTTTTCAGGGTCTGTTTGAGCTGAACTGGTTCCCAGATGTCATGCCCAGCCCCACAGTTCTGTTGCACGGGAAGGGTCCTGGAGGAAGTGTCCTCCCTTGCTCCTGTACACCCTGATGCTGGTGGGAGGCAATGAGCTTGGGGACCTTTTGTTTTGGAGTAAACCAGCCTGAATCCTGAGTGTGCGTCTCCCCTGGGTGGGAGCTTGGACAGGGCTGTGGTTTAACAAAGCTGCATTTAATCCCTGCCTTGCTTGCTAAATCCTTGCATTCTCCTTGCTCTCAGTGGCTGTGCCTGGGAAACCCTCCCGGCTCCAGAGCTGACGTTTCCCAACAAAGCACCTTTGTCAGGCAGACCTCAGGGCTGCAGGGTTGCTTTTTTTATTTTCCCTTCTTTACTTATTACTCTCTTTTTTTTTTTTTTTAATTGATGTCACCACCCAGCAGCACAAGGATCCATTATATGAGCCGCCGTTGGACTTTGCTTGTTTACAGGAGGGTGATTAAGAACAAACGGGCAGCGGCAGGCTGTATCCTGGAAAGCGGAGGCCAAAAGTTTGAGCAAGAGGAAACTTGGCAGCAGAAATGCAGCCCCGATCCAGCCAGCGCTGAGCCTGCGGTCCCCACATGCCAGGGAGGAAGGGAACCTTGTTTTCACATGGGGTGCTGTGGCTGATCTTTGGGGAAGGGTGTGTGGAAGCAAGAGTGGGGTTTTTTCTTCAAGTGGACCTGTTCTGGTGAGGATTTTCCTGGTCCCCTGTCTGTTCTCCATGGAGCATCCCAGCAGAGGGCAGCAAGAGATGCCCTGGGCACCCGTTGCTCTACCATGGGTGCTGCTCCAGAGCACCCACGCTTGGTACCAGGGCAGGCTGACCCCTGTCCCCTGCTGGTCCCCCATCTTGGGGCACCTCCAAACTCCGTTGGGCTTTAAAGAGGCATTTCTGGGGGCTGCAGGAGGGTGTTGAGGTGGGAACAGAGACAATATGCAGAAGATCTACTCTTGCCCTCCCTGGTCTTTGGACATCTCCTGCCCTTCTCTTTAACTGCATGGTTTATTTGGGGGCAACACCCATCTTATCCTGTATTTGCATATATTGTGGTGCTGTATCTCCCCATGTCTGCCCATGCACACAGCAGGGTCTTGGTGGGCTGCAGCGACGCTGGCGCAAGGACCAAGGGGGTACCGGTGGCTTCACGCCCACGTGAGCGTGGCAGCTTGTCGCTGTGGTGCTGCTGGGTGCCGGAGCCTACGCCAACATGCTGCTGCATTCAACCCCAAGTCACCCATCATACGAGCCAGGGAGCAAAATACAAATTACAGCGGCTGATCTTCAGGCGGAGGCTGCGTTACCTGGCTGGGGTGATGCCGTTCAACAACAGGAAGGGTGGCTGGTGGCCCTCGGTGGCTGCGTGAGCTGTTTCCTGGCTCGTAAGGAATTGGTACCGCGGCAGCTGTAGGCCGGGCAGAGGCTGAGTAGGAGGGGGAAGGCTCGGTGCTTGTGCTCAGGAGGAGGTGGGTGCTGACAGTCTGCACCGTGACTAATGCCAACACCCATGCCAGGCTCTGCCGTGCCTCTGCAGAGGCTTCTCCCCTGTTGGCAGCGTTACTGCCCATCAGCGCTGGGTGATGCGCTGGTGTGTTCTATACCTGCAAGGCTTGCACATCTCCCAGTGCAGTGTGGAGCTGGGGGGGGGGGGGGGTTAGGATGTCTCTAGGTTGGCTTCTTTGTGGCTTCTCCTTGCTCCCAAGTTTGTCCCTGACTGCTTGGGACTCTAGCGAAGTGGCGGGAATCCTCCGGGAGGGGGGAGTTTGCTTCCCTGTGCCTTGTGGACTTTCCAGCGGCACTTGGTGGGCTGCAGTACCCCTCTGCAATGCTTTTCCATCTTCCCTGGCGTTTTTCTGGGTTTCTTTTTCATTTCTCATCCTGACTGAGCACTGCTCTGCTTTGTTCTGCAGGTGAAACTGGCCTAGTGCTTTTCACATGAAGGCAGAAACTGCGACTTTAAGCAAAGCACTTAGGGTTGCAAAATAGTTTGAGCTGGTAGCAGGGTAGAAGGGATGTGCTCCCAAATTGTGGAGCATTATCCCTTCTTGCTCAGGGGCAGAGTGATGGAGAGCTAGGGCTTATGCTTTGCAATGGACCGAAGTGAAGAGGCACCTGCAACCCATTAAAAATTTTTTAATTGACATAGTGCCACTAGGTCTTGCTTCTCCTCAAGCACCTGGTGCCTTTCCCTGTCTCTACAATGGCCCAGTAATCTTGTGTAACTTTAAATGGTACACAGAGCTGCTAAAGGCTTTAAGTAGACTGAAAGTCCTTTGACTTGTAAAGAGATATAAGGTTTCTAGGTTGTTACAACATGTGAAAATAGTTGGGTTTTTCCTCTGTGCCAGAAAAAAAAAAAATTTAAAGCTGTGTAGTAACTACCTGCTAATAGAAAAGATACTCAAGGATTAGAAATAGTCTGTGAAATCTTTAGTGCAAAGAAATTGCTAGTAGGCATGTTTAAGAAATAATTGCATCCATTCCCCCTTTAATTACGGCAAATATATACAAGAATGGTACGCTGAAGTGCTTTGGTTTAAGTTTCACCTGGTGATACACCTCTAAAATAGGGAAAAGATAGCTGGTAATACAAAGCCCCAATATAGGTCACTTTTTTCTAACCAAAATGGTGCTGGATCTGTATGGCTGTGAGGAAGGGTAGGCGGCAGCGTGGGTGTATGGGGTGGAGGTGTGCCGAGATACGGCTCCTGAAATTGAAACTCCTGTTTCTGGGGGAAGCTGGGGCAACAAGCGTGGTGAAGCTGTGACTGCATTATTGTGTGCTACAGGTAAATCTGGTTTGAATGTGCAGGGATTATATCAGCCCTTGTTGTGTCTGATGAAATGAAGGTATTTTTTCTGTGAAACGGCTATTTCTGCTAAGAGAGTGTTGTTGCTGCTGACTACCAGCCCTTCAATCTCATTAAAGCTGTGGCTGAAGAAGCTTGAATGTTTGTTTTTTTTTTGTTGTTTTTTTTTGTTGGTTTTTTTTTTTTGTTTTTTTTTTAATTAAAAAAGAATAAATGTCTCTATTTGTTTTTAAGTGCTGCTGTTCTCATTTCTGGGCAGGTGAGACCAGGCAGGAGGACCTCAAGTTTTCCCAGCCATGACCCGGGCTCTGTCCCGGCACTCGCAGGATGCCAGGGTTTGGTCTGCATTAAATGCGACCTCTCTGCCTGAATTAAACGCAGCACAGACCAGCGAGCAGCCCGGTGGGGAAGGTGTGCTGGGGCTCACGCTGACCTCTGCGCCGTGTCGGGATGCCGCTGGCTTCAGCAGCGTGCTCGCAGGGCTCCAGCCTGCTTTCACCCCCTGGTTCAGCGTCTGCCCCTGCCTGTGCACTGGGAAAGGGGGTTAATTGCTTGTGCCCCCCAGTCCTGCGTGGGGCCATTCTGCCTGTGTTTTCGAGCCAGGCCCTGGATGCTTTTTGTGCTGACGCAAAGCCGCTGCCACAGGATCCTCTGATTCATCCTCGTGGAGGGCTCACACCCAGGCTGGGTTTCTTCTCCTGGTTGTTGATCACGCTGGCGGTGCTGGTGTGGGCTGGGGCCCTCCATGGGGTGCTGCAGTGACCCCCAGTTCCCACTGCAGGGTGAGGTGGGGGGGATGTCAGGAGTCCTGGATCCCTTCTCCGGTGCCAGGGTGGATGGAATTGAGAGCAGCAAAGCAAGGGGGATGCCTGGGATTCCCTGCTCTGGGTGGTGCCTGAACGTACCCTTTGGGTGCATCTTCAGTGTCTAGGGGTGCAGTGGAAGGAGACTGTGAGATGTGGCTTTTAGGAGTGCTGACCTGCCCCAGTCCCGCGCATCACTGTGGGTTGCTCCGAGAGGGCTGTCTCTGGGGTTGGGAGGTGCTTTAATGTTTCGCTGGGGCTGGTGTCTGTAAAACATCTCCCATGTCATGTATGACCGTGCTGCCTTTTCCTGAGGAGAAATGGGCTTAATATTATTCCCCCCTATGAAAGAGGAAACTGAGGTACAGAAGGGTCATAGATCTCTGCCCATCCCTGAGGTGGGAAGGTTAAGACAAGGTGTAAGGCTGCATTTTTCGCTTCCTAGCTCTGCTGACCTGTGTGATCCAAACTAAGGGCTCTTCTGTCTCCTTTTTGTCTCCTGCTTGTCACCAACCTCTTGTTGAGATCTGGATGGGCAAAGGAAAATGAAGGATAAGGGTCTGTTGCTACCCAGGTTCATGCAGTGCCACAGCTGGGATTGCAAATATGTTTAGGCATGCTGAAATATAGGTGATGCTTCTTACCCTCCCTGGCACTGCCATGAGAAGGTGGCGTAACCTGTCTGATTGGGATCGAGCTGCATCTGGGATCGGGGAGCTCCCAGGCAAGCATCTCCCACCTCCTTCAGGGCCTCCAGACAGAAACCTCATCTTTGCAGCAAGAAGAGGGGATGTGATGGCAGAGCTTTGCATGCGGCTGGATTGCGGTAGCCGATGGGAGGGACGGCTGGGGCAGTGCCAGTGCACAGTGTCCCCATGCCCAGGTCGGGAGCGAGATGCTTTGGCAAAGGGTTGTGGCAGAACTGGAAGAGCAGGGCTACAGCAGAAGGTCAGGGCGAAGGTGTGGGTTTGGCACCCGGTGAGGGGGCTGGGGACCGTTGTGGGTCAGTTTTTGAGGGCACCTGTGGAGCCGTCTGGGAGAACTGGTATGGCAGAAAGCTGTACCCGACGCAAACCGGCGAAACGCCTGGAGGATTGCTGCTGGCTCCTCCCAGCTCGTGCCAGCCTCAGAGATGGGCTCAAACTGCCCTGGACCTAGCACCTCGCCCCCTCCTTCCCCCCAGCACTAGTGCCCGTTTATCCTTCTCAGGATAAATGACTATCACCTCCCAAACCACCTTCTTGTGGTGCCAGCTGCCACGGGATTTGTGATCCAAGCATTTGCTCTTGCCCTGGATCTCTGAGATGGCTTTACATCCGGCTTAATCCATTTTTGCTCCTAAAATTTGATACCTGAGCAGACTTGTGCCCATGACTCTTTTAAAACATTCTTTATTCACAATAAATAATAAACTATATTACAAAGATCTCAACACAAAATCCAAAAATCACGTTCTTTCTGCAGCCACAAATAAATAGGACTCATCAGCACCAGCTAATGCATGAAAGAGCATCTATGAGCAGCATGGGCCCTGAGGCAGGGAGAAAGCGAGGGAGTTTGCTGCACCCACCTTCCCAAGGCAGTCGTTCTTCTCTGCTGGTATCTACACAGTATTTCCATCCCCTGGGCCATCAGACACAGGGGTGAAACCCTGTGTGTGCTAGAACGTGCGGTCTCAGGCCTCTGAAAATCATGTAAAACTCACACCTAGGAGGGCAGGGATGCATCCAGGTGGGTGTAAAACCACTGCTGAGAGGCTGCCCTGGGCTGAGACTCCTTTGCTGGGCTTAGCTGGCTGAAGTTAAGCTAGGAATGGTTCTAGCGCTCACACCCACGTAGCGGGATTATATACACAGACACTGCAATACTCCTTTTTTTTTTTTTTAGTCACAGGTGGTCTTTAAGTTATAAGACTTTTTGCTTAAGAGTCTACTGTAGCTGTATGTGTTCATTGCCTGGCTTTGGGGCACACATGAGCCCGTGCATGGGGCTTCTTCCCTGGCTTTGGTTTGTGTTTTTTTTTGTTTCTTTTTTTTTTTTTTTTTTCCAACTGTTCCTATGGTGGGGTCAACTCCATGGACTTCTTCCTCTCCTCTCTCTGCTCTTCCCACTCCTCCTCTGACTCGTAGGTGCCTTTGACGATGGCAACCCTATCTGACATGTTCATGCAGTAGGGGACAAGGATGTAGAAGTAGAGTAGAGCGGCTAAGCAAGCCCCAAGGATGGGTCCAACCCAGAACACCTAGAAAGCAACAAGGGAGAGAGTGAGAGCAGGTCTTGAAGGCTGGTGCACCAGGTTCAGCCATCACACCAGCATCTCTTGCTGTTCCACATCTCCTAACCCATGGAAAGATGTAAATGCCTTTTTCAGTAGACTTCTTGGGTTGAAATCCTCTCAACCTTTGCTTGCTGAAGACCTCAAGCTCTTTAGGAATGCAAAGATGTGGGGTGTTAGAAAGGAGGCACCGAGTGTGCTCTGCGAGGCTGGGTCTGATCTTGCAGGTGAGTGGAAAGCCTAAGCTGGGCTCCTCTGTGGGCTTTTTTGACCTCAAATGATGCCTTAGCTCAGCATGCACTGTTGCATGGGGGATTCATGCTTGTCCCCTTGCTGGCTCTGTACTGTGGGGTTAACCTGTTTCCCATGCAACAAGGGGGACAGCCTCCCTTGTTCCCCAGCCCCCTTTTATCCTTTCAGGCCCGTAATCCCCATGGCAATTGCTGCCCTCTCCCCTTGTTGCCTGCAGCTGGCCCTGGCAGCCTCCTGGCTAGCCCACCCAGCACGCTGCCAATGCTCACCCAGTGTGCTGGGCTGAACCTCCTCACGATGACTGCAGGCCCAAAGGACCGGGCTGGATTCATGGAGCAGCCGGTGAAGTAGATCTGTCGGTGTGGAAAGGAGACCAGGTTAAGCATCATGTTGCTTAGCAGTTACGAGCAACTTTTCAGAAGACAGGGACTGAAATGGCCCCTGACGCCGTCTCTCTTGCAGAGAGGTGAAGATTCCCTCCTCTTGATGGAGAAGGAGCCCCGATATGTCCCATGTTGGCTGTCCCCTTGCAGCTCCCTCTGGGACCAACCACACAAGAGTATTTTGGGGAGCCCTGTCCTAAGGGGACCTTCTCCCCTGCCCTGCTGCCTGGACACTTACCCCCACCAAGTGGCCTACAGCAACAGAGAGGCCGATGGACAGCGCTGGGGACCCCACGTTGCCATTCCTCCGGTTGTCTGTGGATGCAAAGATGCACGCGGCCAGCTGGAAGGTGAGGATGATCTCCACCACGAGGGCCTGGCCTGGGGTTGTGTTGTTGTTGAGCTGTGAACCATCAAGAGGGACGATAATTAACCATTCCTGGGGCTCGACATCACTGGGAGGGCTCTTAGGTGCTTTGCTGGTGGATTTGGGTTGGCAAAGCCATGCACAAGAAACACCCCCAGGTACCCTGCCCAGCCCTGGAGCACAAGGTACCATGCTGGCCACTGCTCCTTTCCCTGAAAGGGAAAAATTATCTTTCTTTCTGTCTCTCTCCTGAGCTCCCCTTCCCAGGGCTCTCCACATCTCTTTCCACTTGCTGTCTCCCAACATTCAGTGCTTTCTCACCAAACCCCACACCGATTTATCCCTTTTTTCCGGCATTTCTTTCCCCCTTGATCCTTGCAAACTGTTGTATCCTGACTCTTCTCCCCTCCGCTTTGTGGAGCACCTCCCCGAGAGGCTGGGGGGCCACTGGCAGCAACCACGGAGGGGCATGGGATGAAGGTTGGGGTGCGGCTGTGACGGGCTGTTGTCCCAGTGCCTCTGCCCACTGGGGACTGTCAGCTGGACTTGCCCCCACTGGGCACAGGAAGGGCAAACTGACCTGAGCCATCACAGCTTGGTTTTGGCTAAAGCTGACTGGTTTGGGACATGGAGCATTGCAGCACCCCATCCTAGTGACTGAATCCTCTGCAATGTGTCTGTGCTGCTCCAAGGGGTCCAGACCTGGCCGTGGTCGGAGCGGTAGCCCCTCTGCTCCCATTTCAGGTGGTTTCCCAGCGCTGTCCCAAGGGTTTGAGACATGCTCCTTGTCACTGCTTATCTCAGATGGTCCCACTGTCTCCCCTCCTTCTCCAAGAACAGCCCCTGCCACTCACAGCCTCCCTGCCCGCTCCGTGCACTGCTCTTCCTTCAGCTCTTCTCCACCACCTCTCTCTATCCAGCTCCCCCAGCCCACTGGTTACAGTGGGCTTCTGCTCCCCCTGCCCATACTGGTTTGACTGGGCTCTTCTCCCTGCCCTCCCCCGTCCACCCTGGCGCAGCTCCTATCCCAGCACTAATCTCCAGGTGGAGAGGCTGCAGTCGAGAACATCTCAATGGTGCGGGTGACTCACTCAGGCCCTTAGGATAAAGGAAGCGCTTATTAAAGGAGGAAAAAAACATGCATTCATTACCCTGCACAATAAAGCTGTCATGTCAGTACTCTGCTGGCTACGCTGGCGTTTGCTCCTATCCCGTTCCCATCCCTCTGTGCATGCAGGACAATGTGCCGAGCTCAATGGATTTGGCTCTCCGGGCCGGTGCTGGCACCAGCTCCTCGCTCAGAAGGAAAGGAGAGCCCGCGCGGCAAGGTGAACTACCTCCAGGTAGGGAGACTCACCGCATTGATGGCCAGGTTGCCACGTGTATTGGCTGGTGTCACGCCGTACAGGATTCCAGCCCCGGCGATGGCCCCGACCAGCTGGGCAATCACGTAGAAGAGTGTCCGGAGGAAGGAGATCTGGTTCCCGACAAAGAAGGCGATGGTCACCGCCGGGTTGATGTGGGCACCGCTGATGTGGCCGAATGCCTGCACCAACGTACCGATGGCCAGGCCAAACGCCAGTGAGATCTGAAGGATGCTGGGGAGGGCAGATGGCCACTTTAGGGCTGAGCCGAGGCCGATGAAGACAAAGATGAGAGTGGAGATAAACTCGACGAAGACGGATCGAGCAAAGGCCAGGGTTAATATTTCCTTCTTCATGGTGGGAGCGGGTGGAGGGCAGCTGGGAAGGAAGAAAGTTTAGGTTTCTTCTGTCTCCAGGCTCTTCTGTCTGCACCCAATTGTAGGGCCATACCTATCTATATATGCAAGAGCAGCAGGGAGCTGTGTTACAGGGCGGTGGGTGGAGCCAGGGAATTAGCCAGTCCTCCCAAATTATCATGTGAAACTGGAAAAGTTTCCATCTGAAAATAACTTCGGAGCCTCTTGGTGAACCAATGACTCAGATATTGGTGGCATTTCTTTCTCCTTCCCTCTGCAAACAAAGAGCCCCTATAGGGTGTCTCTGTGGTCGTTAGATAACACGGTTGCATAACGATGCCGTGCTCCCTCCTCTGCTTTTCCCTTTTACTACCTCTCGCCAGGTTCTGGGTGTTTCATTAGCAGAGGTGTAGTTAATATTGCCTTCTTCCATGTGTTTGCAGACTGGAGAGAACCGTATTTTTGTTTGAAAGGTCTTGTTGCCGGTGTTGGGCTGGAGGAGCTCTCCTGGGGCAGGGCTCCCAGTGCATTCAATTGACATGGGATGTTGAAACATAAAGCAAAGTTAAGCACCTGAAGCTGCTCCCAGGCTGTCAGGACAGCTCAACTCCAGGAAACAAGTGGCTTGCAGTTGTCCTGGGAGCAGGGCAGGGTTTGGGGGACGCTTTGCCTGGCTGGGAAGCCATAGACAAGCCAGGGCTTCCTTGAGGTGCCTGGATGGAGGCTGAATGGGATGGCATAGCTCGGACGAAGAGGACTGATCACTGCAAAGCCCGACCGCAGACCTCGTTGCTGCCTTTCTGCTTGGCTGCTCCTTACAGAGCATTGAGTGTGGGTTTCGCCAGCGTGTGAGTTGGCAGTTGATGGGTGCTCGCTGCCTGTAGCCAGGGAGGGTGTATCCTACTCCTGTCATCTTGGGCCCTTTTCTTTTCTTTTTGCCTTTCAAGCTATTGCTCAACAAGGTCAATGATTTTGCTCTTGGGAATGCCAGCATAAAGCCACAGGCTTTGCACGGACTCAGGCCATGTTTACACGTCTCTTTTCACGTTCCTGTGGCGCTGCCCTCCATCCTAAATCTGTCCAGCTGCAAATCCTTGGCTGGCAGGGAGTGGAGGGGGGAGGCTCTCCGTGCTGTGCAATGCAGAGCTGGTGGGGACTGAGGTTTTGGGGCGGAAAAAGGCTCCGGTGACACTTAACAATGGTTCCCTTGCAGTCCTTGCAGCCTTGTGCCAGGACTTTTTTTTTTTTTTTAATGGGTTTGGGTGCCAGATCTGCTCTCCTTGCTTGGTTGATTGCATCTCGCCTTTCTCGAGCAATGCCATGTCTCCATGCCTAATGCAGTGAGCCTGGGCTGGGGTTATCTGTGGCTGCCACGTGCCTCCGCAGAAGCGGTTGCACTCTGGCACACGGTGAGCAAAACTCTACATGTAGGAGATTGGTAAAGTCAGTTAAATCCCTCTTCAAATTTAAAAAGCACTAAAAAGTTGCATTCACTGCTGCCTTCTGCTGGGTGCAATCAGACCTGCACACATCCCGCGGGGTCAAGAGCTAGGAGGGATTCCTCTTCAGAGCAAGAAGAAGGGACTTCTTCCTCCAGAGCTGAAAATAAATGAGCCTTTCTCCTCCAGCTGTAGCCAAAGTCCTGAGCCCAGCAAACAGACCTGGAGAGTCTCAAGGGACTGAGGATCCGTTACAGCATTAATTCCTGATAATGGTTTTCTCCTGGTTCTGCTGATCCTGGGGAAGATTGCAGAGTTAAAGACCAGATCTGTTATCCTAGAAACACCTGGTCCGTTGGCGTGTTTTGGTGAAAGTTTTGCAAGCTGGTATTTCAAGACACCCTGGCCAGATTCCAGCTGGAGTAATTGCTTGCCACTTCCCTTCAGCCCTGTCTGTGGCTCCAGCTGGATAAAATGCACTTTGTTCCCATCTTCTAAACACTTTCATAATGTGCCCGCCACAGATCTCCTTTGGAGGTGGCCGTGTTTTGCTGGCAGTTCCTCTGCCGCACGCCTCGCTTCAGCTAAAAAGCAGCGTTGAGCTGAAAGATGCTCTCCCAGGTTCCCAGCTGTGGATAATAACCTCCCAGCAAAATCTGCCAGCTGACTAGGAGATATAACCAAATAATGCTGGAAATGATGGGCAAAACTTCCAGACGGAAACAAGATGTTTCTCTAACAACATGCCATGCAAAAACTATTTTCCTGAGGCCGTTTGCTAGACTTTGCTCACTGAGACGTTCTTCTTGCTCGGCTTCTCTGATGTCTAACCATGTTGAGCAGGCATTAGGAAGGCTCCTTGTCCTCTCTCCTCTCCTCAGCTACATGCCCTCCAAGGAGCTTGTATGAACTGAGAGTGCCTTTGATGTGTCAAATTTAATTGAATTGGGCAAGATGTTGAGAAGGCATTACACAGGTCCTGCTGACAGACAAGACACCTACGTGATGGGGTCACGCATGCCTTGTTTCACCCCTAGGCTTCTGGAGGAAAGAAGGTGAGGAGGCTTTTTGCAAGGAGGACAGGTTTACCCGTCTAACTCCTCCTCCTCCTCGGTGGCGTTGGCAGACAAACAACACAACCAGAAGTTGCCTGCATCTACCACTCAGTCGTGAGGCCACACGGCTTGGGGACGATGTCTTGGAGGGGGATAGGGACCCGACCCCACCGACGGGCTGGGGTGCCGGGTGCCCAGGTGGGAGGAAAGCAGCTGGTGCCTCATCCTTGCCCGGGGCCCTCCCGAGGCTCTGCCTCACCCACGGAGGCGTGTGTGTTATTAACTGCATACGTGTGTTGGTCCCTGTCATCCTCAGTTTTCTAATTTCATTTTCCGAGCCCACATGGGGCTGCTATTAATTTGTCATTTCCATGGCAGCCCAGGTTTCTGATGAGTTCAACTCCATGTTGGACCTCAAGGCCTAGCAGATTGTGTTGCAGGTAGCCAAATTCAAATTATAAATGCTGCTGAGACCCAGACCAGCCTGGCTTTTGTTTTTTCCCTCCCTCACCTGGCTCTGGATCTTGATCAAGGACCCTAAAACTGGCACAATAATACAAGCAGGAATAATAATAGTAGCAGGAGACAACTACTTCCACCGGAATCTGTCATTAGTTGGGATTAGATGGCCAGAGGAGAAAGTTTGGTTTAGTTTGTTTTTAAGAGAAAGGGTGTTTCTTGCTGGTTTAGCTTTGGGAGTTTGCAGCAAGCCATTGATGGGGGAAAAAATAACACGTGCTGGGAATTAAAAGTAGAGCAAGAAGTAGCAAACTTTCCCCTCCCCGTCCTCAGTTCCTGTGGTGGCTGCTTGCCATGGTGGCAGGGAAAGTGGTGGGATTAGCTCAAAGCCTGGACACTTTCTAGTGCAACCCAATGTCTCTGTGCAGGTGTTTCAGACAGGGCTTTCAAGGATTTCTCTTATCTAACCCACCATCTGCTTGCGCTCCCTTTAAAGGGAGAGATTACTCTGCTGGCCTGAGGCTGATGGTGTTTCCACCTTCTCCTGCCCTGGAGCAACAAGGCTTTTGCTTCCCCTAGTAACCTGACCCAGCTTTGGAGCAAAAACCCCATGAGGCTGAATTTGGCTTTGGGGATGTCTCCACGTCCCTTACTGGCATCTCACTGCTTTGACACGAGAAGCCAGTCCCAAAGTTGTCCTCCAGCCCTTGGTGGCTGCTGTGCTGAGCTGGGTGGTCACAGTGACCTTGTAACCTGTGAGTCTGTAAACAGGGTTGATGCTATTTAAACGCTGAATAGTGTTAATGCTTAATAACAGCATTGCTCTGCTCTTTGCTTAGAAATTATTTGATGGTCTCTAAGGCGTACAGGTGGATGGAAATGCTTTGGGGTTGGTCTGCAATGGACATGTCAGCATCCTTAATAATTAATTTGCATTGAAATCATCATTAAATCGTCACACGGAGATAATAATAATGTGTATCAGGGAAAGCAAAGGGCTGGTTAGAAAATAGGCCTGTACGAGATCACACAGTGCAAAAGCTGGGCTTGAAACCCTGGCGTCCTGATTTTCAGGTCTAGCCCTTTCCAGCAAAGCCACCTGCATCAGCGACATTAAGAGGCTGTGTTTCTCCTCGTCTAGATAAATACTTTGAATTCTTATGGGTAAGCAGCCGTTTATCAGCGTCCTCAGAACTCAGACAGAGCTGTGTTTGGGGCAGTGGTATTTTTCCTGTTGAATTGTGTTTGCTGTGGAAATGTCTTCTTGGCCAGCGCAGTCTCAAGATTGCAAGGAGCACGCTTGGGAATAAATGCTGAAATGATGTGGGGAGAGAGCTGCCACCAGGAAAGAGATCTCCCCTCTTCACCTTGGCAATGCCATCCCGCTGTGTGTGCTGCTGGGATGGGAGGGCATGGAGCTAGCTGGAGAGCAGGGGCCAGCTCTGGGATGGAGATGGTTGAGTTGCGTCAAGGCAGAGGGGAACTGAAAGCACGACCAGGCTCCAAAGCACCTATAAATGCTAAAAATAGCAAAGAGGAACCTGGAAACTCTTAAAAGCTGAAATTCTCACATAATCATCTGGCTCCAAGAGCCCAAGACTTTACAAAGCAAAATATTGGTGACAGTAGGTGGACAGCTGGTTACCGTGGTGAACTGAAAAATCAGTTGTTCACCCCATTCTGCCTCTGAGACCCAGAGCAAATGCATCAAGAAGTTTCTCAACCTAAAAATCTAAATAGTATATACTGATTAGGATTTAAAGAGTCTTGTGGTGGTAGCATCCCTTGTTGCCTCATATCTGGCACTAAAGATTCTTGCACTGAGTGGTCTCTGGAGAAATGTGTGATTTTTCTTTAGGTTGTTTGTAATCCTGGAAAATCGGGCTGAAAATCGAAACAGAGCCTCTGGTCTTGCACCCAGACCCTTTGGGAGAACCTTGTGAAATGGGACTCGCTGTAGATCTTGAAGATACAGGAACTAGCTGGGGGTTTGTCTTCCCCCTTCTGAGAAGGTCTGTGGTCCTTTCCCAGACTACATCTGGTCCTACCTCCCCCTCTTGCTCTCCTGGGTGGGTTTAGCCTCCTGGCCCCTCCTCAAGGAAAACATGCTTGGGGAATATTTCTACATA